ATGTCTAATGCATCATTACATTATTGTTATATCCATACATGCACATCGAATATTTCTTGGAACGTGTTGCCATAGAAATCCTGACAAATGTTCAATTAATAATCATTTGAATATCAATTAAGTGTCTGAAAATGGCAATGTCATAAGTAAGCAGATGCCATTTTCAGATTTTTGTAATTAAAAATCAAATAAAAAACCTCTGACGAGGTGAAGAGCGAGTGACGAAACCAAAATGTGACACACAAAATATATCAATGATATCAATTTTGTGACGAAAATGAATGATAGATAATTTATCTGTGTACTGTGATTAAAAACTTAATATACATTTGAACATTCAAAACGTTGCAGAAATTCCTCTTTTTTACTGTCAGTATGGACTGATGACGCAATGCAACGTTCCGATCTTTGACTTGGGGCATAAATCGATGAAATTCTCAAAAGAAACTATGGAGTCTTTTTCGAGAAAATATCCGTTATGTGTCCGGTCAGACGGTCAAAGTTTGATTTTTGGCCAAATTGGCCACCTGAACTTGAAATTTTTAAGTCACAATTGGCACCATCCGATAGTTTACTTTAAGACCTTTCCAACGAATATGCATATGCCCTGGGTATGTCAAGTAAAGGTGCCACAGCGATTGTTTGAAAAAAAAATAGTAATAATAAAATAACAAATATATAAGTAAATAAAATATAAAAATAGAGAAAAATAAATAAAAATTGAAAAAAAAAATTGAATAAAAAAATAAAAAAATGTATTGAACCTAATTAAAAGAAATAAAAATTAAAATAAAGAAATTATAATTAAGCAAATTAAAAATATATTAGAATAATTAAATAACATTAAAAAAAAGAAATTAATAAATAATTTTTTTAAAGTAAATTTGAATAAAAAAATAAAAAAATTAATTGAAATTAAATAATATATGTGGAGTGTGTCACATGCAGGCAACCCAGTGACCGTAGGGACAATCAAAAAGTGACTTTTGGAGGCCGGCCACGGCCAAATCGAAAAGTGCCGGAACAAAAAAGTCTTCGCTTTTTATGTACTTTAATCACAGAAAGTTTCAAAAAGATCAGACTCGAGTACGCAAAATCGCGGACAGATATACCAAATGACTTTTATAGGAAAATCATATGAAATTTTTAAAATGCGGAATTTTTCGAACGGATTGATCGATTTCGACGTTTGAGATAACGTTGGAAAGGTATTGAGCTCTTGAATCAGAATATCGATGTTTCAGGGGTCAATGACCTCATTTAGTGCCATCTATGGCCGTAGAACTGAATTTTGACCCTTTTCTTGAAAGGACCATATTTTGAAGACAGGTGGTCCGATCATGGGGCGGAAATGAATGAGACGAAATTTTCTCTCTCATGGGCGCAGCCATATTGAAAATTTTGTATGCGCTTATATGTAAAATTGGTGGCGCCACTAGTATATTTGATGGAAAAAGAAGAACATGTTTGAGTCTCACTCGTTTATATGTAAATTACATAGGCATTTCCAGGCCATGAGTCTGATTTTCAAACTTTGCTGTTTTTTCTTAACCTATGGCCCAATGGCTTTCCAACCATACATCAACCGGGGCCAACGGCCTTCTAGGTCTGGATTTCGTATATTACGTGTATATATAGCGAGTTCGACTTTTCAACACACTAATGTGGTTTCGTCACTCGCGCGTACTGCCGTCCGCTGTGATTCGATTCGATGCAATTTGATAATAATACTTTAAAAGTGAAAAAGGGAATGAAAAATGAGTAATGAGACTTGTTAGAATACATTTCGCATCAATTTATTGGCGTTTCATTAAAAATTCAATAATTGACAGATTTCAGCAATTTTTTGTTGTTGTTGTTTTACGAGACATATCTTATATCAGGAAATATTTTTAGTAATTATACTTGTAAACTTTTTTCATAAATGTATGCAATAGAAAAAAACAGTGGGATAAATATTCGCTGTACACATGGTTGTTGGATTCAGAGAATTACGTGAAAGTAGAAATAAATAAAAAAAAATGGAGCAAGAAACAAGCGGTAAACGGAACAATTCGGCACGACAAAAGTGTGTAAATTACAAATGCGAATAGAGAATTTTAAAAGTAAGTTATGTGTTTTTATAATATAAAGTTCCATTTATGTACACAGACTTACGCGACGAAAATTCAAAGTTTTCAACTCAAAATTTTCAACAGTATACTGTTGCTATTATTGCTTTGAAAGAAGGAGAGTGAGAATATTCGCATTGTTTTTCTGTCCTAGTTAACATATGAATTAAATAGGAATTCGACAAAAGACGGAAAGAGTGAGCACGAGAGAGAGAGTTGAGTAAGAGCAAAACGATTACAATAAATGTGCTACTTTGTGAACGCGTAATGTTTCTTCGTTCGTCGTTCATTCGTTCATTCGCACCAAATAAAAAGACGCCTTCTTGTTCTCATATTCTCTTTACCATAGAATTTCCATTCGTTGTTTGGGCGACGATCGTCACATACATTTTAAAAAAATAACCACTTTACTATTCCTTTATAATTACATTTTCCATGCCACAAAATTCTATTAAATATTCGTCTCTTCAATTTCACCAGAGTTGCTTCCATTTTTGCGCAGTAATTTGATTGGAATGCAAGCGCTAAATGAAACGAATGGCAGAAGTTTGCTAAACGAAGCAACAAGATGAGCAGTGGAGAGGTAGACAAAGTGGAAAAAGAGATGAGAGAAAAAAAGTGATGAGGATGAGGTCGAATTAGATATGCGTTTAAAATGGGAGAGACAACAGGAAAAAAGCACTCACACACACACACACTCACACACACACACACACACACACACAACTCACTACATTGTAAGACATGTACGCCCATAAACTTTTCTAGATCACACAGAAATTTTTTTAACTGTTCACCGCTTCGACAACCTTTTTTTAACTTCACCAACATGCGTACATGCACACGCACACAGCTCCATACAACAAACCAACGATCGGAAAACTAGAGAAAAGTTATCGACGAAACAACGAAAAAGCAGCACAACAATTTCGGGTAGCTTTAAATCAATAAAATACAAACGAGCTGACGAACTGTCAAACCGGCCATCCAATTTTCGGTATAAATTTTAATTTTCACCGTCCAAAAAAAGAGAAAGGACCAAGAATATTTGCTTGCTATCACCTGTTTCACACTCATTGTTTGAAAACTTCCGTCACGAAAAAGGTCAAACCATCCAAATAACGCGATAGCGGATGGCAAGACAAAAAACCCTAAGACATAAAAAAACCAGTGAGAGAAATATGTGCGGAGAGCGTGGAAGTGTTCGCAGCACTTTATTTGCGAATAAATGTGGAAACGTCATTGGAAATTTAAAGAACAAAAAAAGTATATATCGCAGTCGATGATGTTTGAGTCTTTTGTTCTCGTCATCAACAACAACAGTAGCATCCGAATCGATTGCTTTTCAATAGATATGAAAGTGTTCTCACACCAAATTCATATCAGATCTAGCTTCAGCTTGAGTTTTGACTTAACTCTCAAAAAGGCAACTAACGAAATAACCGCTTTTATAAAAAAAAGATCCTAAGTGCCCAACACCAAGACGAATATTTTAAAGAAAAAGAGAACAAAATAGAAAAAGAGTAATACCAAGCTACTGTTACCCATTTCAGCCCTTCTGTCGAACGCACATCCAGGGTGTGAGCGAGAGAAAGAATAATGTATTCATAACCGAGGAAACGACGCGTGAACAAATAGATTTCATTCAAAAGCATTAATCAATGAGAGTGTCTGCCTCTCCTCCACTTTATGGATAGGTCGATAAATGATGATGAGTACGAAAAGAAACCCCGAACTAAATAACTTTTATTTCGATCTCTGCCGCCCACTCTTCAAATCAAATGAACAATTTTTGCCTTTTTAAAATAATCATTGATTTTGAATTACTGGCAAAAGAGGCATTTTATTCAATTGAAACGAAACGAAACGAAGCACAAACGACTTGAAAATGCGATATATATTTTTTGTATTGTTCGAACAAATATGATGTCGATTTTGTTTGATACGCGTCGCACAAAAAGCATTATGGTAAATGACAATCAACCGGACACAAATAGCAATAGTGTCATTTAATATCGATAGTTTAATAGTTTTATTTGTTGCAACAAAATGAATGAATTACAATGAACCTTCGGCGGTGCAATCTTTCAAAATTCACTTGAATGTAACAGAACAGAAAGGAAATGCACAATTACAATAAAATTTGTTATCGTTGTTTGAACAGACACTTAATGTTTTACAAATACAATATGCGTATTTCTGCATAATTCTGTATATTTTCCCGTTTTTCCCTCTGTGACACGTAATTATTTATTTTGCATAATTCATAGTTGTGGAATTTCAGTGAGAGACCGAGATGGGGTCGGATTCTATGCGATTTTAAGTCGGTTGCTCAATTGGTAAAGGGCCATAACTTTTGGAAGATTGGCAAATATCCGACATTTCTTTTGAAAAAATGTTTAATAATATCTCTAAAGTCTTTATTTTATTATTGTTATTGTTGTTGTCGATGTCGTCGTCGTTGATGTAACGAACATTTTTATTTTTATTCCATTCTCTTATATACAATGTGCGTTCGTACCTCAAGTATCTTTCTCACATTTCAAGCATCTCGTAATGTAATAAAAGCATCAAAAATACTTACAGAACATTCATTGAGTTCAAATAAAAGAATAAACGTTACATTTCTCTCTCTAGTCGGTAGTGAACCGAGGTGAAAAAGTGTGCATTTTATGTGAGCGAGTGAGAGAAATGAACTCAAAAAGAAAAGAAAATGTAAAGCGAACAATTTTCAAGAAGATTTTCTCAACATTTAATAATAAAGACACACGGAAAAGAAGAGTGCATTCAATAACAGTGTGTAAACAAATGAATGCAGAATGTCGTACATAAATAAAACCAAAAGAAACTTTAAAATCGCATTTACTTTGAATTATGCAATTGACTTACCTCCTGTCGATACGCATGTGACGTTCACTGAACTACCTTCGTTGTACGGTCCAATTGTATAATGTGGTATATGTGTACCACTTTCATCCGAAATTGATAATTTTTCCGGTGGCACTGTAAATATAAAATACACAATTCACAAATGGCTTATTAATTATTATTGATTGTTGATTGTCAAATGACGATGATGGAAATTGAATCAATGTGAAATAAAACGAGAGAGTGTGTGTGTGGATGAGTGAGTGAGTGATAGATGATTGGGAAACCATTAGAATGTAAGAAACTATATAGTTTGACCACAAACACACACATATACAGGGTGGCGCATATAATAGGCTCACTCTTAGGGGGTGAGAATTTTGAAAAACCCTTTGGGGTGTATGTTGGGGGTAAAAAATAGAAAATTTCTATCTGAGCAGAATTTTTAATTTTTCCCCAGGGGGGATGGGGGTGTCCCAAAATTTCCAAAAGTGTATCGGATCAAAAAATAATGTACTACAAAGTTGTTCAGAATGACGAGAGAAATTTTTTAGGA